TGGTTGGAACACAATCCTGAGAGTTTAAAAGCTAGGATGATTTACTTAACGCAGATTTGGGGACAAGGTAGGACCATATGAGTCAGTAAGTTAAGTCAACTATTGGAAAGTAGCAACTTAAAATTCTTCATGTACAAAGAAATGTGATGTGTCCACTGAAGTTTGTGCTAGAATCAATGACACTTGGATTCCCCAGAAACATCCTGCTTCCTTTGACTTAGCCTTTGTAGATTTAATGTGTATGAAGGTTGTTGCTCTTTCTACAAACAAGTCATTAAGACCAGGTTATGCTTTACAACATCTTGAAAGTCAAAGCTTCACACAGGTGAGAAACCACCCAGCAACAGCTGACAGAAATCTCATTGTTAATTATTCACATCTTTCGACTCTCATTAAGGGGCATCTTAAAGCTCCACAGAGCTATTCCAGTGTGGCGGTGATTGCCACTTTGGATGATTGTTAAATACTTTCACCATGACTGTCAGAAAAGCAAGCAGACTAACAAACAGCCCCTGGACCCAAAGCCCTTTAGGTTGTTCTGTTTTTGTTAGAGGTGGTACTGAGTTTTGGGCCATGCCTCTTTCCACTTGGAGCTTGTTATGGACTGAGTGTTTGTGACCTTCAAAATTCACACATTAAAACCCTAACCACCAATGTCATGGTATTAGGAGGTGAGGCTTTGGAGAGATGATTCAGTCATGATGGTTAGCTGCCTTCCTGAGTAGAATTAGTACCCTTCTCAAGAGACCCCTGAAATAAAAATATGAAAGTCACTCCTTAGAGATAGCTAGTCTAAAGACTCCCTAGTCAGGCAATAGCAAGAAGGAGCCACCATGAACCAGGACCCAGGCCCTTTCCAGACACTGGGTCTGCCAGAACCTTGATCTTCAACTGATCCAGTGCAGAATTGTGAAACAAATTTCTATTGTTTATGAGCCATGGTTGATGGGATTTTGCTGCAGCAGTCCAAATGGACCAAGAAAGGGCTCTAGGACTCAGTAGGTGCTTTTTGTTATAGTTTTGTTAATTTATTCTAGCAAAATGACATATGCTTCTTTTTCATATAAAATGGAGACAGTGATAGTGAACATTTTGGATACAGTGATATTTAATGTATTTGAATCACAAGAATTATAACAGAGACTCAACAAGTATAGTTCCATATCTCTGACTATATTTCTAAAGAAGAGTCTACCTTTCTTTTTTCCACAGCATTTATTGATCTGTGTAATTAACTACTGACTTGCTTAGTCTTCACATTTGCTTGCTAAACTTTACATTCAAGAAGGCTTAAGCCCTGCCTTTTGTACACACCATGTGCGCCTGATACCTAGCACGCTGCAGGCACTTAGTACATGCTCAATATTTTTTAAGTGAATAAGTTTCCTTCTGTGTCTTAATCCACAACAATGATTCTTAAGAAGCACAATTTTGGTGAGCAGTGGCATATTCTTAAACCAATTGCCTGGATTTTTACTGGTATTTCCTATTTGGATCAGAGAGTAGAAGGGAAGGAATGGCAGAGGTGACTCCATTTTGGATGAGAGAGGCACTTTTAAAAGCAGACAACTAAAAAGAGGCATGGTAAACAACAGGCTTCTCAGAGAGATAACAAGCCTCTCACAAAAATAACAAAATACAGCTGCACAAGGTATGTAGTGGGCCCCAAAGCCAGGGTAAGTTGATCAGACCTTCTTGGAATGAGCCTTTTCTGATCCCATAGACTCTAGCTATATTACAGCTACTAAGCCCCACCTGCCAGGGTGCTTTCAATAAACTTTGTGCTTGCTTTACCCTTAACTCCTGGTCTGGTGTCTTCAATAATTGACATTGCCGGGACACAAATTTGGGATTAATAAGCCAATATCAAGAATATAGGGGAAAACTTGTGTAGAAAAATTAAACCCAAGATCTTAATATTGATAATCAAATCCCCACTTATATTTGAAACTCAGAAGATTTCTAGACTTTGAAAGGAGGCACAAGACAGCTCCTCTTGGATCAAATGATGAGCCCGGTATAGGCATGGTATGAGGAATCCAAGTTCAATACTGTGATTGGACCATTCTTACCAGTTGAAGCCTACCTAACCATTTGATTAGAAATTACATATGTGGTGGGTTTAAAGCATTAATCAACAGATATTTATAACCCAAGTAGGATTAACTATGAAGTGTGGTCTTCAATCCTACAGGACCTTTACCAAGCTCAGGAATGGTTCTAGCAATCTATGTACAAGATCATGTACTTCCATAAACTTTGAAAATCTGCACTTTTCAGTTTTTCCCTCTTCCATCACTCCCACATAGTGTTTTGAACCCATTTTTTTCCTTACCTGCTTCATTCCAAGATACTTGATCATTCATGGAGGCTCCATTTGGAAGGTGGACTGGGTCACAGTGTCACTGTAAAAATGGAGGTGCAGGGTACCCTGTGTTGTATCCACGTATGGCTTCTGAGTTATGGTGCTTCTCCTTGGTTCTGTGTTTTCAATAATGACCACATCCAGAGAACAATCAGAAATCAAAGAAAATTTGTTTGCTAATAAAGCAATTATTTGTTAAGCTCAAGATGTAGACCCTTGAGCACACGATTAAACCCTGTAAGGCCTTTCAAATTGGAGAAATAGAAGCCTAAAAATAGGTGTTTCTGTGTTGTGGTGGTTTTGGTTTTGGTTTTAATCACATTGAAGAATTCAATTCAAACTTACGGACTTCTCTTCATCCAACTTGTAAAGCATGAAGTTAGAAATCGGGTCCAAACTATAACACAGTTATCAGTCAGTGCTTTTTCAGTTTCATTTCATGGAAGATGTGATAATCAGACTTAATCACCAGAAAAACTTAAATTAACTCAATATGGAACACTGTAGAGAAGAAACAAAAAACATAAAACCATTAGAAAAATACAGGAATTTTTTTTATGATCTTGGATTTGTTAGTGGGTTATCAGATTTGACAACATAAAATCAGAAGCACCCAAAGAAGAAAAATAGGTAAATTAGACTTCATTAAAATAAAACAAAAAACCTTTGTGAATCAAGAGATATTGTCAAGAAAGTAAAAAGACAACCTAAACAATGGAAGGAAATATTTGCAAATTACAAATCAAATAATGGTTTAGAATATATAAAGAACTCAGAATTCTTAAGACTCAAAGACAAAAATACCATCCAATTTTCTAAACAGACAATGGCACTGAAAACACATTTCTACAAAGAAATTATACAAATGGCCAACAGCAGCATAAAAGGTATTCAACTTCATTTGTGATTAAATAAATGAACATTGAAAAGGCAAAAGTGAGTGTGGGCAGGTAAAAAGTAACGCTGAAAATTGACAAGGACTGGAAAGGACCCTCACACATTACATCTAGGGATATGAAATGTGTCTCTGCTATGAAAAAGCATTTCCTCTCAAAGTTAAATGTTAAATTACCACAAAACCCTGCCATTCCAATCCTAGGCACATATTCAGGAGATAAAGGATGTCAGGTTTCTATGTCCACACAGAAACTCGTACCTACTTTCTAGCAGCATTATTCATTATTCAAACAACCCAAATACCCAGTAAAGAAAGAATGGATAAAGGAAAACACAGAATATGTATTTAATAAGATATGATTCTGCCATAAGAAAGAATGAAGTACTGATATACACCACGACTTAGATGAACCCTGAAAGCACATATTAAATGCAGGAAGTCAACACAAAAAGTCACATATTGCATGATTTTCTTGATATGAAACATCTAGAACAGGTACATTCATAGAGCTGTAAAGATTAGTGGTTGTCAGTTGGACAGAAAGGGAAGTAATTTCTTATAGGGTATGCAGTATTTTTCTGGAGTGATGAAAAATTTTGAAACTGACAGTTGGCGTTGGTGGTTTACAACATTCTAAATGTACCAACTGCCACTGAACTGTGCTTTTTGAAATGGTTAATTTTTTTTTTAAGGATAAAGTCTGTAGTTTATTTAGATTTTGAAATGCAACAAAAAAATTTCCCATTACTTATCTAGCTGTAAAAGAAATTATAGTTACTAGAATTAGTAAACACTTTTGGTTTGTAAAATTGTAATGAGCAGTATCCATTAAAAAGTAACTGAAGATAAAATAAGCAATTAAAATGCCCATTTCTTTAGTTTCTTAGGATATTGTTTAATCATCCAATCTATCAAGGATCTAGAAAGAGAAGGATTAAGCCAGATTTTACAGTTCCAAAGACACCCAATTTCCTTTTATTGCCAAAAATATAATTGTCAATTATGAGATGATTATGACACAACCATTTCAAACCTAAAAATCTATTTTTTTTGAGAAATCAAAAATACCAAATAGATCTAAGTGCTCTATGTTAACTGAAGTATATATGTAAAGTAAAATACAATTAAGCTTTAAAATGTGGAATATACATTTATGTAAGAATTATGTTCTTGGGAATGTAATCTACAGAATACTTTTTACTAAAACTTCAAAACCTTGATACTTGCACATGAAAAATCATAAAAAATATCTAGGTACAACTGTACAAAGAAACTGACACCAATATGCATACTTCCATAGAGAAGTGAATGCTTCCAACAGTTGTGTGTTTTGGTAAAAGTTTTGAAAGTATGCATATTTTAAAAGTAATTAGGCTTTTAAATAGTGGAGTCTTAGACTATCAATTTTTTATTACTTTTTTTTTCAAAAAAAACCCACATCAATATAATGCAAAATGAAAATCAAGGGTATATGGCATATTACTCTGTTTAAAAGGTGGTTTCTTGGTTTTTTTTCCCCATATAGAACAAACTAATTTATTTAAGCCATAATCTCTTGACATTTAAACTTTTAAGTTCACTCTGTCTGTGAAGTATACTCAGATTCCCTGCTGAAGTGCAATGACTATGCTGAAAAACTTAGAAACAGTGTGAATAAATTTCACACAATTACTATCTCCTGAGAATGTACAATGTTATCAATTAGGAAACAATTGTGTGAAAGTCTTTTTTTTAACCTTTTTAACTTGGTGTAGGTGGAATAGCAAGTTTCTGATCTAAAACAAGTAATGCATTGCTTCTATAAAGGTGACAACATGTAAGGCAGTTCAAAGAATGCTGACTAACCAAACAAAATGCAGTTATTGGATTATCTTGCTATTCATATCAGCTTAACTTGTTATAACGCATTGCTCTTAAATCTGTACAGCACTCCATTTTACACAGAGTAACCCCATTCTTGATTAATCTGTTCTAAAGTGCCAGTATTATTTACACTTTTTTTTTTAGCCAAAAGTCTGGCCAGTTGTGGCATCTGGTGAAGATGTCATCCCAGCTCTATTATCATTTACATTCACCAAGGGAAATTCTGGAAATTCAGCACTTGTCCCTGGTCCCCGAAGGTTCACCTGTCCATTGGCAGTGCTAAATTGAGTAGCTATTCCAGCTCTGGATCCATGATAAGGAGCACGGAAGGGCTGTTCAAAGGAGCTCATTTGGTAGGCTTGATGGACAGGCTGAGCCTCAGCTTTCTTCTGAGAAGTCACTTGATCCAAAAAGTCCTGTGTTGATGTGGCAGAAGCATGGTTTGTCTCATCACCTGAAAAGGGAAATGAGTGCTGTGAATCACCAACTATTAGTCCAAAGTGGGACTTATCTGGAGTTGTTCTTAGTGGAGAATTCATCCCTGATCGAAAGCTATTGATGGGCATGGCTGCGTAGACTTGCTTGTCTATGGAAGAAAATGCTGGCTGATTTGGAAGGGTCTGGTTATCAGTCACAAAGTTAAGGCTCGGGCTATTCAAATAGGCATCATTTTGGCTAGTTCTGTCCAAAGCCTGCTGCAGAAACTTTATATATCCTGCAACATGTTGGCTTTATCTGATGAGGATGCTTGGGAGCTTGATCCAACATTCTCTGACTGAGTGACCTCAGGTACTTCTGAAGAGTTTATTGATATGCTGGAAGTCACTTCAGTATCTGCAACACTGAAGGAAATCTCATGCTGCCCATTAGCTTTATGGGAATAATGATCCAACAGAGTCTGCAGTACCTCATCTGGAATAACATTTTTGTCATGATTACTCTTAATCTCCACGTTCAGTGCCTGTGAATCTAATATGGATGCTGTGGTGCTTTCATCAATGACACTTGCCACAGCTGCTTGTGTTACAGAAGGCTGAGAAGCTATAGTGCCCACGTTCAGAGCATACTCCCTGCTATTGTTACTTGCTGCTTGGAGATAGCGCTTCTTCTTCAAAAACTGCATGGCATCATCATAATTAGTGCTACTATGCACAGGTTTGCTGGGCCCCTCTTGCAAGTTATCAACCTGATCTATGTCAGCATTGCCTTCTGAGTCCAGTAAAGCTTGTTTATCCACAAGTTCAAATGCATACTTTGAAACTTTGCTCTCTTCATATGTGGATAAAGGTGAAATTGTTTGACTTTGCTCCAGCGGCTGTTTCAGACTTCTCTTACTATTAATTTTTTTGAGAACCAACTTTGGTGGATGTATTTCTCCTGATGCATCTTCTAAGAAATGGTTAATTGTATATAATATGAGCTTCCCTTCCATCAAAAGGAAATCACACTCTTTTAGTACATAAACACCTTTTAAAAAGGAAAATAACAGCAATTATCTCAACAGAAGAAATATTACTTAGGAAAATCCAACATCTATTCTTGCAAAACACCTGGCAAAATAGCAATTGGAGGTGCATGCCTATAATCCCAGCTACTCAGAAGGCAGAGGCAAGAGGATTGCAAGTTTGAGGCCAGTCTGGGCAAAGCTAGAGAGATCCTATCTCAAAAATAAAATAGAAACAGAAAGGCTGAGGGTGTGCTCAAGTGGTAGAGTGCTTGCCTAACTTGTAAAAGGCTACCTGTGTTCAATCCTCAGTACCAAAAAAAAAAAAGTAGTAGACAGGAACTCCTTTGACTGAATAAAGGGCATCTGTGAAAGATCAGGAAAAATGACAAGACCATCTGCTCTCTTATACTCCTCCATAGTGGACCAACAGCTGGAATTTGGGTGCTGGCCCCTGTGAAAAGGAAACACAACAAAGAAGCCCTCAGCACTTGCATGAAAAATGTCAGGTTTAATAACTGCCACACCACAGATCCCTGGCCTTGGAACCACACCACACCAGTCAAGTAACATCTTTCCAGGAATTTGCAGACACGATCAGATATTTGGGAGAGGAGAAGTAGATTTGGGGACAGAAATCTTTGGGGTTTATGTAAGGTTTCACCTAAGAGTCCTGAACCCGCATGGTGGACCTAGAGGGTAGCACAAGGTCAAACAGCTTAGTGTTCTGATTTTATCCTGGAAGTATGCCTCGCTAGGCAGGGCTAATACACCAGCATCAGTGCTCTTCAAACGACTGTCCTAGGTATGAACACTGTGATAAGGAGGTCATCTGTCTTTGAATGTTCTTTCCATTGAAATCATAGAAAGAAACAGTTATTCTTGAGGGGAAAAATTGAGCATTTTTTATATCTGCTGCAAAATATCCCATCAAAATAAGAACCCATCATCACACCCTGTTAGTAGAAACCTTGAGTTCTGCTGATGCTGCTGTTTTTAGGTCCTCAGGTATTTGGTTCCAGTGCCTTCTACTGCCGTGTTACCATCTCCCATAGATGAAGGACCAGGCAAGACCTGATAGTTTTTCTTTAACCACACCTGCTGCATCACAGCTCTGACATCCTGGCCTGAAATTCTCTTTCCCTTTGCCAGTATTAACATCCAGCTGCCAACACTGAATTTAAGAGCTACCCCCTGCCAGAAAGCATCAGCTCATTTTCACAAACTCAGCATCAGTTTTCTGTAGTTTGAAGTCTGCATCAGTTGCTCACATGGTTCTACCATGATATTTTAACAATTCTACCTAGACTGTAAAACTCTGTAGAGGTGTGTTTTGCATACCAAGTCACCTGTTATGTCAGATGGTACTCAATGAATCCTTGTTCAATGAATGAATGAATGAATGAACGAATAAGTGAACTATTTTTACCCCTCAAAAATAATGACCCCAATAGAGATGGAAACCCTTAGAGATGGGATTGTATTAGAATGAAAGCCTCACCACCATGGCCTCTGTTGAAGGAATTACACGCACTTCTCTACAAATCTAAAGAAACTCTGACTTCTCTTCCTAAGTAAGTTATGAAATGAAAAGGTCATGTAACCTAATATCTGATGTAAATCCAATGACGCGTTATTTCTCATTTCTTATCTCTGTTTATTCACATTAGTAATTGTATCTGCGCTGCACTTTTAAAAAGCAGTAAAATTCTTTTGCCAATACAAGTTGATGCTTTGAAAGTGTTCAAGACAGAGGGTACTTGCTAAACACTGTGCCAGTTCTGATTTCATTCAGAATTATTTCTCTTCAAATTAAACACATCATTTAAATGGGCCTGTGTTTCCTTTTCTCTAATATTTCCTTCATGGCACATAGTAAGTTCAAAGTCAGCAAAGCTCTTCCTTGGTTTCACCTAAACTGTGCTGCCAACTGTCACAGGAAGGAACAGATATCTCAAAGGTGACTTCTTTCATCTGTTTGCTGATACCTGTTAGGAAAAAATAATAGCAAACAGACATTTATCATGTGCCCTGCTTTTAAAATGTGTTTGATATATACCATCTCATTGGGTGTGTGTTCCAAGGAGGAAATACGCTCTGCCAAAGCCTGTGTATTCAGGCTCAAACCCTGAGGACTTCAGAAGGTGCATATATTTGGAATTAGGGCCTCCAGAAGGTACTAGTGGGAGGGAGAAAGGGAAGGAAGAGATGAAGGTGAGGGTGAATGGTGGATGGACTTCATATACTTACATGAAACAGAACTAAGAAGACTCTTGCAATGGCTTTAAGTTGCGTGGGGAGGGCTTGAGCGGGCGATGATAGGGGTCATCTAACCAATGTAAAATACAAGTCTGATTGGAATTGTCACTATGAATGCCCCACACCATATAATGAATTATCTTAATACAAAATTTATAAATAAATAAAGAGATGAGGAATTTTAAATAGAGCTATTAGGGTGGGACCTAGTCTAGTACTGGCTATTGTCCTTGTAAGAGAAGAGAGGGACACAGAGGGAGATGCCGGGGTGCCTCTAGCAGATGGACAACCATGTGAAGAGCCAGCACACGGGACCATGTGTAAGCAAGGACAGAGGCCACCATGGGAGTCCGCCCTGCTGACCTAGGACTTCCAGACCTAAAACTATGTGAATATCAGTATCTGTTGTCTGTACCTCCCAGCCTGTGGTTTTTTTTTTTTAATTATTAAAAAATTTTACTAGGATATATTTGTTATATGGGATGGAATGGAATCACAGTGACAATTCTGATAAGGTCTTTATTGTAAATTTGTTAATCACCCCCATCATCTCTCCCCTCAACCCCCTCCTCATCCAACTTAAAGCAATTGCAAGAGGTTTCTTTGTTCTCCTTCATATAGGTATATGAAGCACATCAACCTTATTCCCTCACCTTCATCTCCTTCGTGTTTTCTTGATCCATTCATCACTTGGGGGCATCTGGGTTATTTCCAGAGCTTGGCTACTGTGAACTGTGCTGCAATGAACACTGGCGTACAGGTGTCTATTGTATTCTGTCTTACATCCCTTTGGGTAGATATTATGGCAAATTTTTAATGGTAACACTAGTAAACTAACACCAATACAATTGTTATCTCAGTTTACCAAGGGAAAGGCAGACTCTTGAAAAAAGACACAGTTCCATCAGGGAAGGGGTGAAGCCAGTTCTGAAACTACAGTCTATAATCAGAGGCAGTGCTCCTCCTTGGTGCTGTGCTATTAACCCCATTGACTTTAGGTAGAACTGTTTTGCATTGATTTAACTATCAGGTTGTGCCAGGTACTATGCAGAGAATTTTCTGTGTTTCCTCAAACTCAGTTGCTGATAGACTGTAAAATGTTCTTGAAATTTGCCTTTTAGGTTTTTTGCTTCTGAACACATTATCTTTCTCTGTTCTCATCCTGGTAGTGAACTATTCAGTCCCTCTATTTTATTCTGTCCACACTCTGTATTGTAAAGGGAGCAATGACAAAAGAGACTCCATTTTGGATGAGAGAGGCACTTTAGAAATGGGGGTGAGAAACAATAGGTTTCTCACAAAAATAATAAGCCTCTAACTAAAATAACAAAATGCAGGTGCAAGATGTGGGCCCCAAGGCCAGGGTGAGCTGACCAGACCTTCTTGGAATGCTCAATTCCATAAGGAAAGGGGCAGCAGGCAGGTGGCTCAAGTGGTAGAGCATCTGCCTAGGAAACATGAGGCCCTGAGTTCAAACCCCAATACTGCCAAAAAAAGGAGTGGGACAGACAGAGGCTGAATTCAGCAAGAAGCTGACTTAGCATCAACCAATCACAAATACAGTCTCAAGGTAGAATAGTTGGACTTAAGCCAGTTAGTGTCCTATATCATCAACTAAACTTCACTTCAGCCATTGTTTGTCTTAGTTCTTTCACTAAGTCCCACCTGTCAGGGTGCTTTGCTATCCTTTCAATAAACTTTGTGCTTGCTTTACTCTTAACTCCTGGTCTGTGGCATGAATTTCCTTAGCTCTTAACTGCTTGTCTGGTGCCTCCAATCATCGTGTGTGTCAGAACACGAACTCAGGGAACAACATCCTGTCTGGTACTGGTATCATGAGAAAGTCAGCACTTTCCTGGTTCTCCAACAGTGTTGTTGCAGTCATCCTTCTTGGCCTTTACAAGTCAAGGCCATGGTGGTTTGAAAATCAGTCATCATGATTGACAGTGACCTGTCAATATTGTGGCAGCCTCTCTTGGACTTGTGACTATGCTCACAGCATTAAGGCCAGCTCACTGCCTTCCTCTCCACTCCACCCTGAAGGGTTCTCTACCCTCATCCATCTTCAATATTTATGCCTCAAGACACTTGCTGTGCTGATATCCTGCACTTCTTCTTACTGCAAACTTATTTTCATCTTCACTCTTGGAAGCCACCCATGGTTTCTTACTGCTTCATGGACCAGGCGTTTTCACTGTTCTCTCTCCCTTGATATGACTGTACGATAGGTTTTAGTTATCAGAGATGGGGTGTGATAAGGCAGTGTACAAGAATAAACAGTTTCAGAGCAGGACACTGAAATAACTTGGAGATGAATGTTATTGCATTTGAAAATGCTAAGAATCTTCATTGACTAAAATTCGGGGAAATGTTTGCATACCTGCTAATCTGCTAATCTGCTGGGGTATGAGTAAGTGTCTACCAAACTTTTTGTGTAAAAGGTTTGGGCTCTAGCCTGTAGAACTATATATATTGCAGTATTGTAGTTTGAACTCAGGGCCTACACCTTGAGCCACTCCACCAGCCCTTTTTTGCATTGAGTTATTTCAAGATAGGTTCTCACAAACCATTTTCCCAGGCTAGTTTCAAACTGCAGTCCTCTTTATCTCTTCCTCATGAGTAGCTAGGATTATAGGCACAAGTCACCAGTGACTGGCTGAGTGGAACTATTGGTAGGTGGTGGAAACTTTAGGAGGGGTCATCTGATGGGGAAGTTGGGTCACTGGGAGTGTGTCTTTGATGGAGCTATTGGGTCCTTCCTCTCTTGATTTCAGATCCTGGTTTTACCATGAGGTGAGCAACTCCCTATGCTGTGCATTTCTGCCATGGAGGCTCCTCTCAGCTCGGACCTAAAAGCAGTAAGTCCAATTGGCCATGGATTGAAACCTCCAAAACTGTGGTCAACGCCCCAAAAAACCCCTGTTTCCTCTTTATAATTTGTTTAGCTCAGGTATTTTGTCCTAGTTACAGAAAGCTGACTGGAGCAGTATCTGACTGGTAGAGGGAAATAAACACGAGGTTTCTTCCATTGGAGAAGAAGAAATAATTATTCATTTTTATACATTTTTAGCAAAATTTTAAGCATGTGATAATATAGCTTTGTTTATGCTTTTCTTTCTTGATTATGGGGAAGTCTATGCAAAACTTCTTCCCATCTTATTTTCAATTTATGGGCTTAAAAATATCCTATAAAAACAGCCAAGATGCCCCAGCACTGATGAATGGATTAAGAAAATGTGGTATCTATACACAATGGAATTTTATGCAGCTATGAAGAAGAACGAAATGTTATCATTCACTGGTAAATGGATGGAATTGGAGAACATCATTCTGAGTGAGGTTAGCCTGGCTCAAAAAACCAAAAATCGTATGTTCTCCCTCATACGTGGACATTAGATCAAGGGCAAACACAACAAGGGGATTGGACTATGAGCACATGATAAAAGCAAGAGCACACAAGGGAGGGGTGAGGATAGGTAAGACACCTAAAAAACTAGCTAGCATTTGTTGCCCTTAACGCAGAGAAACTAAAGCAGATACCTTAAAGCAACTGAGGCCAATAGGAAAAGGGGAACAGGTACTAGAGAAAAGGTTAGATCAAAAAGAATTAACCTAGAAGGTAACACCCACGCACAGGAAATCAATGTGAGTCAATGCCCTGTATAGCTATCCTTATCTCAACCAGCAAAAACCCTTGTTCCTTCCTATTATTGCTTATACTCTCTCTACAACAAAATTAGAAATAAGGGCAAAATAGTTTCTGCTGGGTATTGGGGGGGGAAGAGGGAGGGGGCGGAGTGGGTGGAAAGGGAGGGGGTGGGGGCAGGGGGGAGAAATGAACCAAGCCTTGTATGCACATATGAATAATAAAAGTAAAATGAAAAAAAATATATATCCTATAAGTACTTATGAAATCCTTTACAGCCCACAGCCTCAGTTTCTCTGCTCCTCTGGTAACATGCCAGACATTTTCTTTCTTGCCTCAGGACATTTGCTCCTGCTTCTCCTGCTACCTTTCACACTCTGCTCTTTCCTGTTTCTTCCCTTCCAAAATTTGCTCAACTGTGACTTTCTCTGTGATGTCTTTTCTGATTACCCTGCTGAAAATTGCATCTCCCTGAGCCCAGAAATCCTCTTCCAGGCTTTATATTAATATGTGCCTTTGGTCTGCTATAAAAGAATGAATTTTTATTTTATTATAAGTTCAATGATGAAGCTTATTTCCTTCAAAATCAGAATGCTTTTTACCCTTTTTAATCTGAAGAGTTAAATCAATTATCCCATAGCTGATTGGATCATTCTGGTGATTTTCATGGCTGGCCTATGTTGTCCTAGGGAGGATGCATTAGGCTTATTAAGAGTAAATGTGGCACCACTTCTGTTGGGCAGTGACAAGGTGAGAGGGTTCAGAAGGTGAGACATGTGGCAGAAGCCCAGGCTACAATAATAAGCACCCCACTGAACTGCTGCTGCCTTGACTACATGGCCCTCCAGCTCCACCCTAGTGAGGTCTCAGGCACAGAGAACTAAGTTCCTGATAGGCATTGAGCCTGAGACTGTGGACTGAGATGTGGTTCGACCCTCCACTAAACTGCCCGGTTTTCCACGTAGATTCTCACTGTTCTTCTAGGATTTCCATACCTGCATGGAAATCACTGCTGTGGATAGCTGGGGAATAGTGTGCTCATTTTTAGATGGGATTTCCAGGTCCAGAGTCAAGATTAGAGGTGGAGGAAGATCGGGGCTATTTCTGGCCATCTGCAAACTGCACAGAACCTTTGTGTTTTGGAATTAAGGTGTTCTTGCTCATAAACACTTTGCAGGGATCCAGCCTGTTTTCAAAGGAGTCAGTCTCTTCTGTGAGCAGGTTGTGTTGTAGGTTATGGGTTTGTACATGTTGAACCATTGCTTGGCATGTAAACTAATGCTTTATCTGGTTAAGGCATACTACCACCAGGATAGGCCCAGGTGGGTGATGAGCAGGTGACAATAGGCAGTAAATGTATCTCTGAGAATATGCTAGCAAAATACTCTGTCCAGGAACCAGGTCTCAGTGTCTCATGCTAATCCTGGTTTTTCAGTTTTGTAGACAAGGCAAACCTTACCATTCCTATTGCATTAATCCAGCTCAAATATCATACTGAAAGAATCAAAGGGAAGCTTTTCTAGCTTCTTTTCGTTGACTTCCTGTGATCATCTTCCAGGTTTGCCAGAGTTGGTGCATCAGATTGTGAACACATGAAGACTGGCTGAGCTGAGCCCGTTAGGAGATGCTGGTAACTGCCATGCTGCCCAATGGAAACATGTGCTCAGCTAGCTTCACTCTCTATGACATGTGGAAGCAGTTAATCACCAGGTAAAAGTTCTTCACATCCTGAGACATCACAGTTATTTTTCCTTTTTTATTAAGAAATCCTATGACATTCAGCAGGTGGTCTATCTGTGATGGTCACTTCTGTCACAACTGGGGAAAATTCTAGGATGCAGGGGTGCCCAGGGTCAGTTAATCCAGGTGGGGTTTGGTACTGTTCAGCAGTAGGATGGCATTTCTTTCATGGCTTACATCTCTGTTCTGTGTGTAACCACAGGCTTTTACTCCCCCTGACATTGGCTAGCAGTTGGAAGGTCATTCAGAGTTTTCCTCAGGGGTCCTTCTCTTACAATCCCTCATAGTAGAATGTGCCAACCTCACCTCTCAGTGCTGTGGAGAATTTCAGATCTTATTTAAGTGGCCAGAAAAAAATGTTATTTGCTTTTACCTTACCATAAGCAACTCTCAATCCTTTAGGAATAATTACAAAAGTCTCACAAAGAAACTAGAGTTGTTGACTGATAAAGCATTAGAATTGTATGGTTATTTAGTTGCTTCTAGTCACATGTGGTTATTTAAACTTATATGAAAAAATTCATATCTGCTATTGCATCAGCCACAACTCAGGTGCTCACATCCCAGGAGATTCTGTTTTGGACAGAACAGGAATGGGGAACATTTTCACCTCAGAAACTTTTTTTGGACAGTGTCGTGTTAGAATATTTTCATACCACTTTTCCTCAGATCAGGTAATTTTGTTGCTAGATGATAATGCCTTAACTTGGTGGGATGTAATGTTTCTTGAAAACTCTTGAGGATACAATTTTATGTGTTCTTACATCTTTTACCATGAATACCTTATTTATCTCTTTTCATTTTTAGATTCTCATAAGGTTTTTCTGCCTGATCAGTCCTCTGGAAGTTATTTTCTTCCAGTTTTGTGTTGTAATGTTCACACATTTGCCAAAATGATTTTTAAGAAGGGGAAAAAAAGAGTAAATCTGTACCACTACACATGGCACCCTGTTAAAATGAGTAAATTTACCGTTGTTATGCATCAGTTAAAACTTTAACTTAAAAAAAGATTAAACATGTATATTTAGGGGTCTGATACATGAAGCAATGAACATTTGCTATTTTTCCTATCAGAAAGGTAGAGGAGTCTATAGAAATCAACAGAGTTCAATCAAATTCAAAATTTCTTGACCTTACATTCATACACTATGCACTGTACACTATACTTTTGCTTTTTCTTTTAAAGTAGTAATTTTAAATTTTACAAATGCTTTGAAATATCAGAAACAATGCGGCCTTGCCCACAAAGGTCAACAAGACCTCCCAAGTGTGAACCAATATGTACTTCCATATTTTCCTCAAATTAATTTTATAGCCTTGACCTTTTCTCTCAGCTCTAGCTAAGTGATGCTCTCAGACAGTGCAGTGCACTCTGCAGTGCTGCTATGGTTTCATGAAGGAAGAACTCCTTCCTGTGCTAACATACAGTGATCCTGGGTGGGGGAGCTGTGATTAGACTTTATTTGTCAAGTAACACACACTGTTCATTAGGCTGGCACTGATTTGTTTGAGGGGACAAGAGGGATTGGTCTTTGGTGGTAATAGTGCTACCATGCTATCATGTCATATTCTGACATGAATTGAAATTAATTATAGCCACAGAATGGAACCTGCAGCTCTTTTAGCAAAATTCTCCCAAATGAGTCTTTTTTTTTTTAATCTCAGGGCTTCACACTTGTGAGGCACCACTCAAGCCATACCTTTTTTGCTCTAGTTATTTGTTTTTTTACTTTTTTTATTGTTCTGGGTGTGAGGGGATATATTGTGGCATTTACAAAAGTTCTTACAATGTATCAAACATATCACAGGTGAATTCACCCTCTCCATCATCTTCTTTATTCCTCTCTTCCCCCATTCCTGGAATAGTTTCAAAAGATATCATTTTTTACATTTGTATACATGTGTGCAGAGTATTTGCACCATATTCACCCTCCTGCAGGGTTCCCCACATCCTCCCCTCTCCCACAAGTAGCAACACCCCCCTTGCCAGGCAGGACCTGTTCTGCTCTCCTATTCTCCTGTTTTATAAAAATAAATAAATAAATAAATAAATAAATAAAAAAATTTTGCTTATTTAAAATAGCTACACAGGGAGCTTCCTTACCTTCACGTTTATATGTATTATAGCTCTATTTGCTTCATTTCCTCTGTTTGTCTTCTTTCTACTTTAGTCCCTTTGTTTTGATGGTATCAATGGATTCAAAAATTCTGTATTCGTTCTCATGTAGAGAGTATATCAGCCATATTCCCCTTCTTCTTAACTTCCTTCTTTTACTTTCCCCCTCTTGTATGTGATTTCCCCTTAGCATGACCTGTTTTCATAATATTAATGTATTTGTTTTGGGTCTATATTCCACAAATGAGAGAACACATGTGGTTTTTGGACTTCTGAAATTGGCTATCTTCAGTAAAGATGATGTTCTCAGTTTCATCCATTTTCCTGCAAATGACAAAATTTCATTCTTCTTTATTACTGAGTAAAATTCTATTGTATATGCATACCACATTTTCTTAATCTATTCATAAGTAGTGGGGCATCTTGGCTGTTTCTAAAGCTGAACTGTTGTGAATAATGCTGCAATAAACATGGGTATGCAGGTGCCTTTGTTGTAACCTGACTTACATTCCATTGTGGTTTCCATAATGGTTATGCTAATTTATATTCCCACACACAGTGTATGTTTTTCCCCATGTCCTTACCAACATTTTTTGTTCTTTGTATTTGTGTTCTTGATGGTAGCAATTATAACAAGTGTGAAGTAGAATCTTAACTTGGTTTTGATTTGCATTTCCTTTATGGTCAGAGATATTGAGCATTTCTTCATTTGGTTT